TTCTCGAATTCGACTATGGTTACAGTATCCCTTTCCATAATTCGAATTGTGAGATTTGGCAATTAGTTTGAATTGTTTAAACACACATATGAGCTATCTGAGGCAAAAGTGTATAAGTTTGACAAGCTTAGATAAAGGATTATCAAAGCATTAGGTATTAGAAATATGAACTTAAGAAATTCAATAGGTATTGTTTTTTGAAAGTTAAGTTGTTTTCTGAATACATGTCAAAGCTAGTGGGAGCATAAGTGTTATGCTTATATGATAATAATCATCATGATAGTGGGAGCATAAATGTTGTGCTTGTATGATTATTAAGGAAAGTATTGCAATTTAGCAATATTAATTATAGAAAACAATAGTTATACTTTGCAAAGTCGTAAGGGTTGAAAAGTTGTTTTGCTATAATTAAGGGAGAGAATATTATGCTTCATTTCAAATCTAAAGGCTTAGGTTGTGGAATGTTAATAAATTTAGTCAAGGATACATAGTGCGTTATCAAATTTCGATTATGATTATGGCATCACTCTTCATAGTTCGAATTGTGAGAACGTGACACATAAAATATTATGGGAAAAGATTGATAAAGTATCAGATCTTTATGTAAGACATTATGCATCGTGTCCCATACGCTTCGGGTAAAGGATCGATTGCAAGTGCTATAATATTTGATCATTCTAAAATTTTCCAAATGTCTAGCACATTAAGAGGGAAAAAGGACAATAATCGGTTTTTGACTAAAATAATTAAACAACTATCAAAGGACGATCCAAAGTTAGCCGATGATTGGTCGCTTGTGAGTAGTTGGAAGTATGATATTGGATGGACCATATCGACATTATTATGAATAGATAAGATTCTATTAAGAATGAGTTGTCATATGGTAAATATGGAAATGCTTCCATATTAGGAGTTGGATATTGAGAGTCTATGACAAGATTAGAAAATTTTATGCAAAACGATGTTCAAGGAATGTACTTTGAATGAGAGACATCATGTCTATGGAATTGTATTGTAATAATCTCCAATAAAGAATTTTGTAATTTCATTGGCAATAGTCATTGTGACTTTTGCGCTATGACTTTACGAAAGAATCATTACATAAAATGTTAGAATCTAGCATATTCTATAAGTGGCAAGAATTTGATATTCTTACACTTGTGATAAGGATTGGGAGTTGTGAAATGAGTATGATTGGAAATGTATTCAGTTGATCTATTTCACAAAGTAAGGACCATAGGTAAACATTGTGTGCATGCTAAGAGCATGGGACAATTGTTATTATAATTCAAGTAATAAGTTGATCACCCGAAACAACAAATAATGAGTAATCAATATGGTGCTTAAATAAAATGTTTTATTTATACCCAGAGTTTGGGGCCATACGGGATTGGTATTATTCTTGTGTTTCACTTTGCATGTTTTGACTTCCTGAATAATTAATTATTTCAGAATAATCAAATTATTCAAATGGACCACAGTAGTTCATATGTTGGAAGTAGGTATGAATGAAGATTGTCATGAATTGGTGTGTGGATTGTCTAAAGTGTATTAGACATAACTAAATGTTTGTTGCAACGTTCATGAGTGCTTATGAATATGATTTGAGCATTGGATTAAACCCACGCTCACTTGGGTCACTTCATGAATTGTATCACGAGTGATTGGTGAGTCGATAACATCTTATATTCTTGAAACCGAGATGTGTGTGTTGTATCTTGCAAGTCGGTTGCACATTGATAATATGTAAACACACCAGTAACTTGGTGTTATAAAACATATTGTTGTGTGTGATTCGGTGAGTGAGTGCAAGCAAGCATTGAATCAAAGTTTATCCGTTCCTTCTATCCAAATTCGGATAAAAGCAATGTCTTTGGGCCCCTCGATGATTTAGTGATGACACCTAAGCGCTTGGCCAAGCCGAGATTAATTTGATGTGTTCAATTGTAGTCTATTGTCAGTCATCATAAATCGGAAGTCGGAAAACAGTATAGAGAGAATGATTTAAATCCATGTCTCACGTCTATACGATATCTAGAATGGAGGAATATATGAACCCTTATCTAAAGGACACGCTTATCTGATAAGATCAGAGTTGACACCAGCTTTTGAAAGCTATGATTGCAGATCAAGATCTGAAGTCATACGCAGAATAGTTATTAGACTTATCCAAATGGGAGACTGTTGGATTAGTGTCTAAGTCCATACCTATTTTGGTATGTACTTGACCCGATGGTGCATGGTCCTTTTAGGTTGCCTTCACCAAAGCAACTTGATAGGATGAATTATGGAGAGAGAGGATTAATTATGATTTATTAATATATTATGAGAATAATATATTAAAGGATTAATCATATTGTTTAATTAATATTAGTCAAGAATTAATTGATAATTAATTTTGTGGCTAAAAGAGATTAATTAAACTTAAGGGACTGGAACTATAATTATAAGATAATTGCATTTGGGCTATGGATTACCTTGGAATAATAGGTTGGACGAATTCTATGGGGAAACCCATTAGAAATCATCCAAGGGATATTCTAAAAGGGTCCATGGGCTGCTTAGGGCTTAAGCAGTCAGATTAGGGTTTCCTAGTTGAAAATCCTAATAGCCCATATGTATATGTAGTACCCTTAAGCTTCAAAAACGGGGCTAAGAGTTCCACTAGGGTTTCTGGACGTTTTTAGGCAGCCTCCACTCTCCTTATTCTTCATCCTCTTGCTCTTGGTGTTTGTGAGCCATTAGAGGAGTGATAATTGTGACTCTAAGCTTTCTGAAGTCATTACAAGGAGGATTTGTGATTGTTATTGCTATATAACAATCAAAGGTAATTCTCTAAACCCTAATTTCAGTTTATAATATGTTAGATCTAAGATTGTAAGTCTTGGATACATTGCATGTACCATAGAAAAACCTAGATCCAAGCATTAGGGTTTGCATGAGCACATAGGATGTTCTTATGGCTAAAACCCATCACTTACTTCCATCGGAAACAACACACATCATTGCTCAATCAAACTATCTAGGTGAAACTCTAGGGTACGACTGCACCAAGCTCATCTTTTGGATTTCCATTATAAATATATAAAACAATGAAATGTAATGTTCCCAAGGGCATAACTCTATATACCTCTTTGATTTCTTCGTTAATCAACTGTTTTACAAAGTTCTGGTCAATGGATCTGATTATGCATCAATATTTGTATCTGCAACTACCATCAAGGTATTTATAAAGACTATCATTAGTCAAAACAAAGAAATTATAGAAGCAGCAATTAGTATAATAATCTTGGAACCAAATCAGTAATACAGGTAATTTGCTATAACAGGTCACATTATTGACAAAAGTCTGAATTGGAAGTATTTATCCAATTTTAAAATTTTGTTTCCACCCTTATATTAAAGGTGAGATGCAGTAGATAATTTCAATAAAGTAAAAAACACATAAAAAGGTGTAATAGCCTATTAGTTACCAAGAAGTGGATTCTCGTTATTATTCTTTCACATCTCATGAGTATTGAGAATGCTCTTCCATTCTATCCATCACTTCTAAAAAGGTGTAACATTCATAAAATTCTTGAAAATTTTAAACTTTTTAAAACAACCACAAAGCCACCGTTTATCATAAACTATTTTCAAATAAGTTTTACATCAGAGAAATCCTAGAAATCATAAAACAAAATGAGAGGAAGTGCACGATCACGCATTCGCTTTCCCGCAATCCTCTATGGTACTTGAAACATAATCCATAATTGTAAGCCCAAAGCTTAGTGAGATCCCCCAAAATACCAACACCACACAAAACCAAAACAATGTCACAAACAACATGAAATCAAAGCCTTATGTCTAACTGAACACCTCACCGGCCTAAAGTCTATCTGGTACGTTCACAGAACTTACAACATGACAGGTACACCACCTCAGGCTTTCAACCTATCTGGAACGTTCTCCGGGCCTAAGGCCTGACTAGTACGCCCCGCTGAGCCATTAGTCTATCTGGACGCCCTTGGTCTGTTGGCCTTCAACACAAAGCAGGACCGTCTCAACCCACCAGCCATCATATATCATACTAAAACTAGCTAGCATGTATAGACAGTAATACAAATCCAAATCCAAATTATCATACAAAGTAATTAAATATGTATTAATAAATAAATCCAAATCCAAATTGTCATACAAAGTAATTAAATATGTATTAATAAAAATCAAAATAGAATATCGATTAAGTTGTTTTTAGCTTATTTATAACTTAACGTGTGATTTTTTACCCGGTTTATGTCCGATAATGGTGGGATGAATCATATTTTTTTATATAAATTAAGATGATGGTGATGTTGTCCCAAAAAAAAATCCAATAAAAATGAATTAAACAAAACTAACTAAAAGAAATCAATAATCCAATAAGATAATATTTATCAATATACAAATATTATATAGTATAAATAATATTTATTAATATATAATAATTCAATTTATAATAATTAATCCATAGAATGGAAACTACAAAAGTAATTATTTAAAAAAATTAATAATCCAAAAAAACAATTGTCTTACTGGCTAATAAAAAAAAGTATTTCCAATCCATTTAATTAGGAGGCTGTTATAACATAAAAAAAACTGAATACACTATATTTTCGTATACATAATTGTTTATACATAATCGTTTGTATCAAAATTTTACTTTTATATTTTTTTTGTTGCATTTTGTAAAATGTTCTCCTTCACAACATACATTTGAATAAATATTGATGTTTTCAATTATTAAATAATAAACTATTTAGATAATTCACCGAAAGATGTTTTGTTGAGTTTATATATCTTAATAAATTTATAAATATTAATCTATATTAAATAAGGAAAGCACCGGTGACTTTCCTGGTAAGAAGGCCGTGGGTGGAAAATTTGTCCGCAACGTGCAGATTAGTTGAGTCACGAGGAATAAATAATGGAGGTAAAGAGCCAGGTGAAACAAATAAACTAAAATCTTCCAAATCAAAGCGATGAAAAGAGGCGGATCAGGAGCAGTGAGAACTAAGAAAATCCCCGGAGATGCTAGTAACTGTAATGGTAATGCTGTGGGTGGTGAACAAGTTCAGAGATTAGCCACCGATGAGGATGTTCAAATGATCAGTAAAGAAACAGCAAAAAAGGTATCACCTTTTATTGGCAATGGACGCAACAGCCGTTTTGGCGCAACTAGATATGCTCATGATGCTCCCAGGAGGGTAGCACGATGTTACTCTAGAATTGAGGATATTTCTCATGTACGTCCAATTCCATTCAAAGTTGGTAAGCATTATGAAAACCAAGAGTTCGGGCGGGACCCAAATCGACTGGATTACTTTTATTCAAGGCCTTTTGATGTCTTTGAAAACGATCATCTCCCTGGAGTTGGTAGTTATGGCGGCGGTGGTGGTGGTAGAAACCATGGTGGCGTAGTGGCAGGCCAGACTACAGCTAGTGACTCTGCCGTTGCAAGTGAAGGTATAAGGTTACGAGTTCCGGTTGGGATTTCTGCTAATAATGATACTGGAACAGTACTACAAAGACTCAACAAAGGAAAAGGTAATGACGGTGATGGTGATGGTGGTTGTGGGGGTGGTGGTGGTGGGAGTCGTGGGGTTGTGGGCCTGAGGCTGGAGAAGGAAAGAGGTAGTAGTGAGACTGCTGGAGCAGGTGGTGGTGACAGGAATCGCGAAGTTCCGTTTTGGGTTTTTGATAATAATGGTGGTGATTGTGGTGAAGCTGTAGTCGAAAGATTGCTTCGATTCAAGCAGGATGGGGCAACGGTGACAATGCGGGTGGCGGTTATTGTGGTGATGTTGTTGATGATGGTGATAATGATGGTGATGGTTATGGTGGTGTTGGTGTTGGTTATGGTGAAGATGGAGGTCAAGACGGTAGGAGGATGGTGGGAAAAGTGGCGGAGGTTGTAAACTTATTGGAAGATAATTTTTAATTAATTTGGACATTTAGTAGATATGTTATGTATTTTTATTTTCATGTTGTTTGATATTGGATTATACTTATATTGTAATGTAATACGTATGTGGAAAAACTATCATTGAGTTACTTCTAATATTTAGAATTTTTTAATCACCAAAGCTAGTTATAAGTATATTAATTTACAATAATGTTTCCAAAAACACTTAAAACCCGTATGCTACAACCCTTATATATTTTTAAAATTAATTCTCATCATTTATCTGTATATCTATTTTGAATAGTTATATTTTCCACTCTATACTTTTTGAAATTTCAATTTGGTTCTCTACTTTTAAAGAATTATAGTGTTCACCCTCTACTTTTCAAAAATGTCATTTTTATTCTTTGCGCTTGAGCTTAAGTATGGCATTTTCACTCCCTTGTTTTGTAAATTTTCTTGTTTATCACGGTAATAAACATAATCTAATTTTTTATAATAGTTTTTCATTGTTAATATAATGAAATGAAAAAGACTATTTTTACGTGTATATTTTTATGTACGTATCGTTAAAATCGTTTTATCAATAAATTCATTAAAATTCAATTTATAAAACGGATTGACACCGCAATAACCGGCAAAATCTTTTTTAATTTTGAGTTTGAAAATAAAATTCTCTTTAATTTGTTTGATTTTTTTCTAGGATTTGCCGCTTCTTTTCATGACTTTTTGTTGAGATTAAATTAGGGATGTCAAAAACTTTTGTGAAACTCAGTTCCCGTTGGACCCCGATTCTGTACGAGATTAATTTTTCAAAAATTTGAGGGCGACAGCTGGGGCGGGGGCAGGAGTGGGATAAACCTTGTTTTATTTTCGGGACCGGGGGCGAGAGTGAGTATTTCCATCTAGTACTTCCGCGGGGGCTCCATTTGTATATTTATAAAACATATATTTAATTTAAATATATATAGACAATACATTATATAAATTTAGAGTTCTTGATTTTCTTCCACTTCACATGACGATCGGATAGTAAATTGATTATATATACATTATAGGTTACTACCAAATATTGCTATTATAATTGGCAAAGAATTTCATAGAAACACCGAGTACTATGATCCTTGCTAAGATCTATTTCTCTATTACTCCCTCCGTCCCAAAATTATAGTCCATCTTTCCTTTTTAGTTTGTCCCAAAATAATAGTCCACTTCTAAAAATAAATAACATTTTTACCAAAATACCCTTCATTATTACTTAACCAATTAAGCATTTAATGGAACATTAAATGCAAAGTAAAGACAAAACTGTCATTTTATTATATAAAGTTAGTGTTAATTAATGTTTTTCTTAATTTTTGTGTTTTTTGTCTGTGAAAAATAATATTGGGACGGATGGAGTATATAACTAGCAACAATATGTTCATCGCAAATTCCGTTGAAAAGTAATGAATCTAAGAGGAAAAAATTTCACTCTATTTTAGCACCCAGTGTTTAAAAAGGTGCAACTTCATAAGTGTATATATATATATATATATATATATATATATATATATATATATATATATATATATATATATATATATATATATATATATATATACCGCTCTAAAAATACAAGCCAATTTAAACTTTTCAAAAACTACCCAGTTTCATTAAATTATTACAAAAGGTTTTCAATACATTTATTATCAGAGTGTTCCCAGAACCCTATCATAAAACAAGAACATGAGGAGTGGTACGATCACGCCTTTGCCTTGCCACGGTCTCCTGAAGTACTTGAAAACATTAAACCACAACTGTAAGCCCGAGAGCTTAGTGAGATACCCCCAAAATACCAACTACATATACCACGCATAACATATCATAACTGAACAGAACAGCCATGCACTTCGGGTCTACTGTGTGACTGGTCCGCCGCACCGGGCCTTCAGTCCACCTGGGCCACCCTTCAAGTCTAGCCATATCCATCGAGTCTGCAGTGTGGTTGGTCCGCCCGCACTGGGCCTTCAACCCACCTGGTCCACTCTCTGAGTCTACAGTATGACTGGTCTGCCCGCACCGGTCCTTCAGTCGGCCTGGTCCACTCTCCGAGCCTCAGCACGTCTGGTCCGCCCTCATGGGGCCTACAGCCTGTTCGGACCACTCGCTGGGCCTTCGGTATAACCGGTCCACCCTGGGTATGTTGGCCTACAGCACAAAGCAGGACCCGCCTCAACCCACCACCAATCTAAAAACCATGTGCACATAAACATTCAATCATATAACAATTCGCATCCAATCAAGCCGATCTAGCAGATCACATAACATAACATCACATCATCCTAACCAGAATACCGACCTAACCGGTCACTAACATATCATCATCCTATATACCATGATACCGACCTTAACCAGGTCTCTAACATATACCATCCTAACTACCAGGATGCAAACATAGCAAGCAGTAACATAACAACGATACCCGGATTACAATCCGATAAAGGGTCGGCCATGGTGCCGTAGACCCTGTCGATATAGTGAGGATAACTCACTTCGCAACCGTCGACTGAAAGGATAAGATCATGCTGCTCCAACCTTCGAAACGAACACCTCTACTCCAAAGCCAAAAGACTGAACTCAATACATACCAAAAATTACCAAAATACCCCTGGAAGTCAACTGGTCAACTCTTGGTCAAAGTCAAAGTCAACCCTCCTGACTGACTCTACTCGCCGAGTCAACCCTCTGACTCGTCGAGTTCCCATGCTCTGAAACTCCCATAACACGACCCAACTAGCCGAGTTGCCCTAAGACTCGCCGAGTCCCACAACTCTGATTCTAATCGTACTCAACTCACTTAGTCATCCCTTGACTCACCGATTCACAGCTTAACCAAAAAAGGTTAGGACCTCACGACCAGACTCGCCAAGTCCAAGAACAGACTCGTCGAGTCCAAGGCTATCTTCAACCAACTCGCCGAGTTGTTCTTCCAACTCGTCGAGTTGCTGCCTATCTTCAAGCAACTCGTCGAGTGCACCCATGTGACTCGCCGACTACCACTAGCTCTTAACCCATATAGAGGCTTTCCAAGCCATGCAGGGTCTCCAATCCATAGATCTACTCTTATACAAGCCATCCATCACGTAAAGCGGCAAACTTTACGTGAATCCAAGGAGATCTAAGCATAATACACTCTTGGGCTAAGGTTTGGCACTAAAAGGCTTCATCAACAGCTCTTAAACAGGGACTTTATGCTCTTTTGGATCATCACTACAGTAGATCTGAGGTAGCAACCTCAGATCCAACCTCCAAACTCAAGATAACACTAGGTATACACCCAAAAATCCCACAAATGATAGATCTAGATCGATAACCGCTCAAGCAACGAATCATTACCTGAAAAGAAGACTCCAACAGAAGAATAAGCCAAAACCTTGAAAAGCCCCTTTCCCCAAGTCTCTTAATCTTCAAAGATCTCTTCAACAAACACTCCTTCTAGATCCAAATGCTCTCTAATTCTCTCACAAACAAATATTAGGGTTTTAGACATCAAGGGAGAGCAAAGAGGTTGGGGAGTGGGTATCATGTTCCTTATATAGGGCTAAATTCCTGGGATTAGAGTTTTCTCCACACAGCACCAACTCGCCGAGTCCAACCACCGACTCACCGAGTTGGCCACTAGACATGCGACCCTACTCGCCGAGTCTACCTATGGACTCGCCGAGTTAACCATTCACATTTCACTTTGAACCCTGAACTTGCACTAATGAACTCGGGATGTTACAATATATGTCTGCATATAGCAAGGATTATGTAACCCGAAGATCTTGGTTTTTAATTTCATCATTACAATTTGTGTTGAATGAAATCATTCACATGTAAAATGTAGTTACTAATTTATTCTTAATTTTTCTTAGCACCAAAGCGACATAAACCTCGATAGATCAATGCAAAAACTTGATATTGGCAACCCTAACCAGCCACATGAAACACAACCTCACTTTAACTTAACCATTATATATATATATATATATATATATATATATATATATATATATATATATATATAATATATATATATATATATATATATAAAAGGTCTAGACATTAAGTATTTTCTAAGGTAAAATTTTGAAATAAATATAAATGAAATGATGAATAATTCAGTCTATACTAATAAAAAATTATTATCATGTTTTAAATAATCATGTTGAATATTAACGTGTAAAAAATTAAGTGTTTTTTGAAGTAAATTTTCGAAATAAAAACAATAAATAAAATAAACCACAAGGACCATATATGTAATTTGTCTTAACTAATCTATATATTAATAAAACTAATTAATATAAATTCTAAACGGGATTCATTAATATATTAACAGAAATAAAAATTCACAAATGGAAAGTATATTATATACATTAATTTACATTAATTATTATGAGGTGACATTTAATAGTTGGAAGATGAATAAAAATGAAAAAAAAAATATACAAAAATGACAAATGGAAAAAAAGTAATTTTAAAATTATAATAAAATGACATGTATCAAATTCAATAAGAAGTTGACATTTGACAAAATTATCTTTATTTATTAGAGTATATATATATATATATATATATATATATATATATATATATATAGAGAGAGAGAGAGAGAGAGAGAGAGAGAGAGATTAATTTAGTGGTTTCAATGATACAACTCACCATCCTCACTGATGAACACCACTAGCAGTCAACACCGCCATTAGACCATTTATTGTTCACTGTCATCTCTACCTTTTGTTCTTACTGACAAATAGGGCGATATTGTTGACCGTCAATGTTCGAAATTTGAAATTGACATCAATGTTCAACATCCATAAACTTCATCCCTTAGAATTAGTAATCTACAAATGTCTTCAAGTTTGATTTTCGTCTTTTTATATTTGGATTTGGCATCTCTTTTTGGTTTCATTTTACCACCACGTACCACATATGTGATGTTGGACTCAACCCTAAATTGTCTCTACTTTTATATGATTAAGATGTGAATATGATGTTTCAGGTCTTCCTTTAATCGTGTATGTGTCTAATTTTTTTTTTCGTTATCATTTAGGGATAGAAATTTCGGTGGGTTCAATGATACAACTCACATGTCAGATGTTGAAAGCTAACGATAATATCTATCCTCCATTCGTTTCAATGTTAATCTTGAAAGCAATTGATCTGTAGTTTGTTATCATGCATCTAATTTTTTATTTCATATTCTATGTATTGAAATGTATGTTGGTTTTGGGATAACTAGAACCTCTATACTATGTTCAAAACCTTAATATGTATAGCGATTTTCTTTTATAGCCCCCGGGGTTTTCAGGGTTGAACTTTATAATTTCATACTGACACCATTAACGACATTAACTTTTACCGGTGTGTAATTAGTCCTATATGCTTTTTTCCTTTTTGAGATTGACTATTGGAGATTCAATTTCTCATTTATCTTCGAATTGATGAACCAAATATTTTGTGAATACCTAATTTTTTATGGGGCATTGTTATCTCATTAATCATTTTATGTGTATGATCATATTACATAGTTACATTTAAAATTTTCAACTTTAAGTTCGATTGATACCCACTTCAAGATTTGATATCATATATAGCATTTTTTCATAGGAAGAATCCACTGAAATCTTAGATTTTCAACCGAAACAAACCATAACATGGTCAAAGATTTTAGTCTATTGGCGATTGTTGTTGGATTTGGTGCCTAAGCCCATAACTATAACTGGGATGTACTTGACCCAATAGTGGCATGATCCTTTTGGGTTGCCTTCACCGGTGCAATTTGATAGGATGGACTTTTGAGAATAAGGTTATTTATGATTTATTAATATATTACAAGTATAATATATTAACATATGAAATCATATTATTTAATTAGTATTGATCAAAAATTAATTCGGAATTAATTTTGTGGTAAAAAAAAGACTAATTAAATATATGAGGACTGATTATGTAAATCAATGATTCATGTAGTGTGGGCCAATGATCAAAGATTATTTAGATGGGCTAAACCAATAACTTAATCCATGGAGGTTAAACCCATGGAGCATAAGAATGTGAAACGTCATGGAGCATTAGGGTTTACAAAGTGTAACCCTAGCATTTGCCACACTATAAATAGAACCCTCATGAGCCAAAATCGGTGACACCATCTTTTTGTTTGACCAACTTAACAAATTCACCTTCATTTTTCTAAACATGATGGATTTGGAACTGTGCATTGACCTTCCCTGACCTGTATCACATGAAACTCATGTTAAACAATTTGTGCCAAAAAAAAAATAAATGGATTAAGTCCCTTTGAAAAATATATTGCATAGCCATGATTATCCACCACACATTTCACCCGATTTTGATCACATGCATCTGCTTTCAAAGATGTAATTGTAGTGCTAAATACAGCATCAGGGGTTGCCTACAAAATGCAAAGGCATTCCATTTCCATTCCCACCATGGAATGGAATGAAGAATTACAATTCCATTCCTTTGTCATTCCATTCCATCATACCAAACAGAAGTGTGATTGTAACTTACTTGTAACACTTTGACAACTCCACTAATTATATCGGGCTCATCTCTCCATCAATTATAGGAGTGCCTCATTGCAACGTTCAGTTCCTGTAAATTTGATGCAAGAAATAGCGATGTAAATTATAATTAAAATTGTGTAGATTATTCAAAGTATAATGATGCTATATTTAACAAACAATGATATTTAACCTTACCATTTCGACAAGATTGTTATGACATCTGCTCCAAATCCATGACAACAATCTGCAATCCTCTCATCATCTGTAGCCACCACTGCAACATAGATTAAAGCTAGGGACAGTTAAGTAATTTTACATTTATCTCAATAGTTAATTTTCTTATTGCTTATCATTGATTGTTGATTTGTTTCTAAAAATATATTCATTTTAATCCTAAATAATCATTAATCACTTAAATTAAGAATTCAATTGATTGAAGCTCGGTTTTGATGGTGGATGTTTAAATATTTCTTGTTCTATTTGGTCTCTATCGTGCTCTTTTTCATTGGAAAAGTTCGGTAAAATTGTCTTTTGGTGGTTTTTTAGGTTGCTTTTCTAGCTTAAAAAATATATAACTTTTTAGGAAAGAATATAATTGTTGTATTGTAAATGATAACTTTTTTAAAAGATCCATTTTGATAAATAATATGTGGGATGGGTATAAGGTCAAAAAGTAATCACATATTTTTGTGAAGAAGACGGATTGAAGATTCTACAGCTCTATATGACAGAATATAATCAACCTCCATCATGATCCTGGTCTGAATAAACAAGCATATATGGCAACATAAAATAATTGTAATAACATGTAAAAAGAAAGAACTAAAAAAAATACATGGCTTAAATCCAATAAGGATGAAGCATGTTTATGAATTGTTGTCTCAATATCATTTGAAAATGATAACCCAAGACGAGCTGGAATTCTTAATCCCCAAGGTATTCTTGCTGAATAGAATTATACAAATCCATGGTTAGTTCATCAAGATTAAAACAGATACTCAAAATTGCCACTATAAAATTTCATGATAAATGGCAATATTCAGGTTTCTAGTGATCTTTTGTTGAATTATAAAATAGAAAGTCCACTTTACATATAAAAGATGACTGTAAATCATTAGCTTGAAGAAATTGAACTCAAAATGAGCATTTGAACCACCAATTGTAAGATCAACATGGTTTCCAATTGCCTGCATCACATGGGAATGGGATCTCTAACTCATTAAGTCTTAATGTCCTTATTTCATACTATTGATACTTTTACAAAATAAAAATAACCACAACTCAAGAAATAACCACGAAGGAAGCATTACACTGCATCTAAACAAATCGATTGAGTGGACTATGTGCTAAATGATTTTATTACATGCTTTAGAACAGTAAAAATTGA